CGAGGCGAGCGTGGAGGTCCTGGCGGGAGGCGTAGTGTAGCGAGTCGTGGAAGGGCAGTGGACGAGCTAGTACGCAAGCCTCGACAGCGATGGGAGGAGGGAGACTTTTTGTATGAGAGCTCATCCAGCGATGACGAGGATTTCTTCGGGAATGGCAGGCCTGCACAGGATGGCGACAGCGATTTCGACGACCGTCACCCGAACGTGGGCGACGACGATGGCGCCAGTGGCGATGATCACGGTGACGGAGGAGATAGGCCACGACCAGCACATGGTGACACGATGCGCGCCGACGGGGCAGGGGGCGAGCACCGCACAGCAGTAGATCACGCTCGAGATGGAGTGCATGATGACGGTTCACGACCTGTCCCGGGCGCTTGAAACGCGGACCAAGGGAAAAAGACACTATCGCTTCACGTGTGCGCAAACGTCATGGTGGGGTTGCTAGCATTCCACTATCACGAGTCCCCGCAACTGGGCAGATTCCAGTTTCTGAGGACTCTTTCAGCGATCACGGCGGCGAGGAGCGGATCGAGCTGCATGGCGGGAGCGGTCATCCACGAGGTGACACTTCGAGTATGCACGCGACAGCTCCGATGGGGCCTTCCGCAGCAGTCCCAGAATCGCAACAGGGTCCAGCACTGTTGATGCGTCATCCCGAGGTTCAGGGAGAGATCAGTCCTCTCCCGRCAGTGCRGGACGAGGGTTCTGTCSGTGCACTGCATCCWCTCACGTCTGCCGGAGCGGCAGTCTCAGTTGCAGCGACCTCGGATGTGGGACAACCACTGGCAGCGGCGGAGCAAGAAAGTATGCTCCCACCTCGCAGTGTTCAACCGCGGCCACCGCCTGCATTGATGGAGGGGAGTCAGGGGACCGTTGTTGTGTGTCAAGGCGATGATCTCCCGGAACGTGATATCTCACACACTCCCGCAGCCGAGCAGAGCGCCGCAGACCATGTCGGCCTCGCATGCCCCACCGGCAGTCTTCCGGGTACCGGCGAGTTACTGACCATGGACTCTGCGCTCGTTTCTCTAYCGGACTTGTCGACGTTGATATCCCCAGGTCTACCCCATGTGTCACCGCCCAAGCCACAATAGCCTGTTGTCATCGAGCGTGGATCGGGCGGGTTTGACGTGGCAGGAGGCGATATCGCCGATATGATTACGAGCCCAATGGTGTCTGCCACGCCCACAATTTTTCGTGTTGGCAAACTACGCGAGGTGGCCCTTGGTTTGGCGGAGACGGCGACGCGACACCGYCGCGACGGTCAGCGCAGCATTGCACAACGCAGTCTTTCTCATTCGTTTGACGGCGCAGAGGAAGGGTCTCATGGTGGGTCAGTTGACACACTCGAAAGAGAAGCAAGACCCCCATGTTCGCCGTCAAACTTAGAACATCATCCGATTGCCGCGGCTGTCGACGCAGATGCGGGCGTCCCCGTCACAAACAGTGGCACAGACGCGACAGAACAGCTTGTGGTTGGGTCATCGGCGACAGCACGGCGCGACAGAGCCACTGTTTTGCCGACAGTGGCATTTTATGCCAGCGGGAAGAGTACTGGGGGGATGGATGAGCAGGGAGTCCGGAATGTTGGTAGGCCATCTGCACCGTCTATGGGGAAACGATCCATCGGGAGTGTGGATGGTGCTCGGCACACCGCCATGGCCGAGTTTGAGGACCGACACGGGAGTGCTTTGCCGACGAAGACGTCTGATGTCCATGCTACGAGAGCCGCAAAGGCGAGTCTTTCTCGGGCAAGGAAGAAGGCCTCGGCAAGGAAGGCGTCACGTTCATCCTCACATATGCGTTCCCGAGAGAGAGGATCGGGCGTTGTGCATCTCGAGGACGGAGAGATTGTACCTGACGGCGACGCATTGGATGTTGGAGGGAGGGATGCAACGACGGCGGATATCGTCGGCAGGGAGGGCACAGGGAATGCAGTGGCAGGTCAGAAGAGACGCGGCAGTGTACTTATCGTCCACGACGACAGCTCAGATGTCGCCCCGGGAGAGACCACAGGCACTGATGATGCAGGGGACTCCGATTACGTACCCAAACCACGGGCGGCAGATGAAGATGATGGAGGAGGGCGACGAGTGAGACCGAGGACACGACTCGGGCCGCAAGGGCAGCGAGCACAGGGCACACCATCGGCGATGATTCCTGCCCCCATAGATCGGCGAGATCAGGCGCAGCGGTTGCTGCGCAAAATGGAGGCCACTCTTCAACAGACGCACGGGTTATCGCTTGGCCGCGAAGAGACGGAGACTCAGAGAGAGAGAGAGAGAGAG